TCCAGTCCAGTATTTAACTCCTCCACTAGTAACTCCCCAACCAGCAATGGATATCTCATGATCCAGTGACTATACAATAGATATACAGGTAATAGGTAATACATTAAGTACATTATTAGTTGTACTTTAGCTCCAGTAGTGTCATTAAAGACTCCTCCAGTGTATTGTTCAAAGGCTGAAGTCATTGCAATAGTACAGGCAATGGGGCCTCGTGCATAGATCTTACTCAACATCTTATCCTCTCCTGATACTCTACCATGTTCTGTGACCTGATACTATAGGAGCAATTGATACAGTAACACAATTAGGTAAATAGCTAGTTAAAATTTGTGGCTGATCATACACAAAATCCCTGTACTATAGTACAGGGACTTTTGTCCAATTATGGAGCAACTTTAAAAAATCATAGAAAATCCAAACTTGATCGGAATCAGCTCAATCTTTCTACACTGCATAAGTACATGTATATGCATTAGGAAATGCTATGTGTCAATTTTTGTAAAATTTTTGAATAATCCATGTACTATAGCACAGGGACTTTTGTCCGAATTTTGAGCAACTTTAAAAAATCATAAAAAATTCAAACTTGATTGGAATCAGCTCAAACTTTCTAGACAGCATAAGTCCATATATATTCATCTGAAAAAGAGATAAAATTGAAGAATTTTCTACTTTTCAATTTTTTGAAATTTTACAAAAAATCCATGTACTATAGTACAGGGACTTTTGTCCGATTTTTGAGCAACTTCAAAAAATCATAGAAAATCCAAACTTAATCGGAATCAGCTCAATCTCTCTACACAGCATAAGTACATGTATATGCATCAGAAAATGTAATAAAATTCAGGAATTTTTTATGTGTCAATTTTTGTGAAATTTTACAAAAATCCCTGTACTATAGTACAGGGACTTTTGGCCCATTCTGAAGCAACTATCAAAAATCATAGAAAATCCAAACTTGATCAGAGTCTGCTCAATCTCTCTACACTGAATAAGTACATGTATATGCATCAGGAAATGTAATAAAATTAAGAAATTTTCTACTTATGAATTTTGGTGAAATTTTTCAAACATCCCTGTACTATAATAGTACAGGGATTTTTGTCCGATTTCTGAGCAACTTTAAAAAATCATAGAAAATCTAAACTTGATTGGAATCATCTCAATCTCTCTACACAGCATATGTACATGTATATGCATCAGGAAATGTAATAAAATTGAGAAGCTTTCTACTTATGAATTTTGGTGAAATTTTTCAAACATCCCTGTACTATAATAGTACAGGGATTTTTGTCCGATTTTTGAGCAACTTTTAAAAATCATAGAAATTCCAAACTTGATCGGAATTAGCTCAATCTCTCTACACAGCATATGTACATGTATATGCATCAGGAAATGTAATAAAATTGAGAAGCTTTCTACTTACGAATTTTGGTGAAATTTTTGAAACATCCCTGTACTATAAAATAGTACAGGGATTTTTGTCCGATTTCTGAGCAACTTTTAAAAATCATAGAAAATCCAAACTTGATCGGAATCAGCTCAATCTCTCTACACAGCATAAGTACATGTATATGCATCAGGTAATATAATAGAATAGTGGAATTTTCTATGTGCCAGTTTTTGTGAAATTTTTGAAAAATCCCTGTACTATTATAGTACAGTGTAGGAGGGAACTGAGCCCTTAAATAAACATTTTTACAAAATAGATACAACACAAGGAAACATAATAGGTTAACAAATGAGATAATAATAACGGAAATAAGTGATAGAAAAATAATAAGATAAGATAAAAAGAATAGGTTAGGTTAGGGTGAGACGAGCTTCTGAGATAGCTCTGCAAAAATCGTTTGAGTCTAATGATCTCACTCTCGATCATGATCCTTGTAAGCACCTGATTGCTGCCCTGAGAATAGCAAAAGAGTATCGACAACGAATCAGATTAATGGTGATGCTATAGGGCCTCTGGAACTTCTCTGAATGAAGTGTCGCTAGGCGCTTAATGAATAGAGCTGACACAGGGCCAAATCCCCCAGAAGTTGAAAAGACCAAAGGTGAGAAGCAGCCATGTTCAACCTCTTTAATCCTCTGTTCATACTTCCTCTTTTTTAGTGATTCATTGTCTCTGTAACACTGCT